TTTTTTGAGATGGAGTCTCCCTCTGTCACCCAGACTGACTTTAGTTCACTGCAACCTCCGACTCCCGAGTTCAAGCTGTTCTCCTGCCTTAGCCTCCCAAGTAGCTGTGATTACAGGTGCCTGCACCACGCCCAGCTAACATATATATAGTTTTCTTTTTTTTTAAATGGAGTCTCGCTCTGTCGCCCAGGGTGGAGTGCAGTGGCTCAATCTCAGCTCACTGAAACTTCCGCCTCCTGGGTTTAAGCAATTCTCCTGCCTCAGCCTCCCAAGTAGCTTGGATTACAGGCACCTGCTACCACACCTGGCTCATTTTTGTATTTTTTATAGAGATGGGGTTTCACCATGCTGGCCAGGCTTGTCTTGAACTCCTGACCTAAAGTGATCTGCCTGTACCAGCCTCCCAAAGGGCTGGGATTATAGGCCTGAGCCACCATGCCTAGCAAGCCGTTACATTATTTAGGAAATTGAAACTGCCTGTCTCTGCAAGAGCAGTCATGAGTCTTAAATGCAGTGATGCATCAGGAGCCCTTAGCAGGGGCCAGATAACTATAGCACCACAGCTTCTATTCTCACCAGTCTGGAAAGCCCATGCCCTGACATTAGGGTAGACGGAACTGTGCTTTATGAACTGTTGCCATTTTACTGGGGATACGCAGGGAGATTTTCATCAGTTTCTCAGGGCCGATGTGAAGGAGTCTGTTGGGGCTGCCCTGTGGGAGGGACTGGGGTCAGGTGGGCTCAGGGCCACCTGCCATATAGCCTGTCCTCCTTCATTAGCTGGATGGAGAGCCTGTGCCCTCCGCATGCGCATGACAGATATTTATTGGGCACCTTCTGTGTTCTTGACACTGCTTACACACTTTAAACCAGGAAAGCAGAACCTTGCCCATTGGGCCTCGCTCTGTCGGTGCCCCTCTATTCTCCAAGGTGCTGGGGGTGCTGGGCTCCGGGTGACCTGCAGGGAGACACTGACCCCTCTCTGAGCCTGATTTTGGGAATTGGGGTTCCTTTAGCGTACAGCGACAAAATCCGGCTCAGAGAGGGTGATCACTGGGTAACCGACTGATTTGTGGACTTAGCCCACACCCAGAGGCCAAGCCCTGTGCTGGCTGCAGTGATAAGAGGGATCAGCCCTACCTGGGAACTCAGTGTAGGAGGCACGGGGATGCGAAAAAGGCCAGAGAAGTGCGCCACAGAGGGGCACAGGGACAGCTAAGGACGGCTGAACCTGTGAGCACGAGGGAGGGACGACAGCAGGGCATACCAGGCAGCAGGCGCCATGTGCAAAGCTGTGACAGCAGAGCTTGTTGGGCACCGGAGCACAGGCTGCCCCGCGCTTGGCTCTTGCACAGCGGGGAAACTTGAGTCCGTGTCTTCACAGGAGGCATCGAGGACATCGGGGGGAGAGTCTGCTGGGCCGACACGGACGACCTGATGAAGATCACCCAGGTTCGCCTCAAGTATGTGATCTATGAAAACCCGAAGATGAAAATGGTGGTCAGGACGATTGACCCCAACTTCCAGGGTAAGGTGGCCACCTCTGCCTCCCCACGTGCCCTGGCACCTTCCTGGCACACTCATGGGCTGCTTGTGGGCTTGCCAAATCCAGCAGTCACTCCCTCCTCTCTGGGGTTTGCTCACGAGGCCCTCACATCCACCACGACCCAGGCTCGAGCGTGGGGATGTCCTCGCAGGGTCTGCAGTCCTCTGAATGCAGAGGTTGCGCCCTCTCCCTTTCAGTCCCTGGTCATCACGTTGGCTTCTGTTCCACGCCTTATCCAGATGCCTGTCTGTGTTCACTCTACACATTAACTCCCCAGACAGCTGCAGACCCCCATGTATGCCGAGCTGTGTGGGGGGCTGTGGGTGTGGGGCTCTGCAGACAGCCATGTGTGCCAAGCTCTGTGTGGGGGGCTGTGTGGCTCAGGATGAAACAGGTGCCACCCTCTCCAGTGGCGAGCTTCCAGGGCGACACTAAGAGGACACTAAGAGGAGGGCAACAGTAAAAGGAGACAGAAGCTTTAGAGAGGGTTCTGAGCAACAGTAACTTGCCTCAGGGTCTGTGAGGGCCTCCTGGAGGAGGTGGCACCTGAGCAGAAGGAAAGATCCCAGTCAGAGGGAGTAGCATGTGCACATTTGGTGCTCAGGAAACCCCAAGGAGCTATGTTATTTTAAGAGGCATGTAGTGTGGTGGACCATGGCCTGGACCCTGAAGCCAGCGGCCTGGAATCAAATCCCAGCTCTGCTGGCTACTAGCTCTGGCCTTGGGCAAGCAAGGCAAGTTCCTGGGACCTCTCTGGGCCTCAGTTTCCTCTTCTGTAATGAGGGTGATTAGGCATTATGTGAGGATGAAATGAGCTGATACGTACACAGCACTCAGAAGGGGGGCCTGGGACAGGCTGGGCATGGTGACTGGTGGCTCACGCCTGTAATCCAGACACTTTGGGGAGGCCGAGGCGTGTGGATCACCTGAGGTCGGGAGTTCGAGACCAGCCTGGCCAACACGGTGAAAACCCGTTAGCTAGGGGTGGTGGGGGGCACGTGTAATCCCAGCTATTTGGGAGGTTGAGGCATGAGAATCACTTGAGCCTGGGAGGTAGAGGTTGCAGCCTGGGCAACCAAGCGAGACTCAGCCTCAAAAATAGTGTGCCTGGGGCAAAGCAGCCACCCTAAGACTGGCTCTTTCGTGACTGCTTGCCAGATGCTGTAGAGCGTGGCTTCCAGGTTTGGGTCAAGTTGTCGGGGAAGCCGCAGGAGCCAGACTATCTGGGGGCTGTGTGGTGCGCTTACACTGTTCTTTAATTCTGAAGGCTGAGGAGCCAATTAGGTGTTTTGTCTTGTCTTTAGAGACAGGTTCTCCTTACATTGCCCATCCTGGTCTCAATCTCTTGGGCTCAAGCCATCCTCCTGCCTTGGCCTCCTAAAGTGTTGGGATTACAGGCCTGAGCTACCACCTCCGGCCCCAGTGATGGTTTTTAATATGGAAGTAATATATTCTGTATTTGAGTCTTTTTCTATTGAAATAATGTTAAACTTACAGAAGTATAATTTGCTAAAACTCCTGTACACCCTTTATCCAGATTCATTTTTTTTTTTTTTTAAATAGTGTTGCTCTATTTCCCAGGCTAGAGTGCTGTGGCTTCTTCTCAGCTCACTGCAACCTCCGTCTTCAGGGCTGAAGCAATCCTCCTGCCGCAGCATCCCAAGTAGCTGGGACCAAAGGCCTGTGCCAGCATGCCCTGGTGTGATCTCAGCTCACTGCAGCCTCCACCTCCTGGGTTCAAGCAATTCTACTGCCTCAGCCTCCTGAGTAGCTGGGATTACTGGCGTGCCCCACCACACCTGGCTAATTTTTTGTGTGTTTTAGTAGAGACAGGGATTCACTATATTGGCCAGGCTGGTCTTGAACTCCTGACCTTGTGATCCACCTGCCTCGGCCTCCCAAAGTGGTAGGATTACAGGTGTGAGCCACCATACCCCGCATTTTTTGTATTTTCGGTAGAGATGGGGTTTGCCATATTGCCCAGGCTGGTCTCCAACTCCTGAGCTCAAGTGATCTGCCCGCCTCCGCCTCCCAAAGTGCTGGGATTACTGGTGTGAGCCACCATGATGGCTAGTTTGTAAATTTTTTGTAGAGACGAGGTCTTACTGTATTGCCCAAATGGGTCTGGAATTCCTGAGCTTAAGCAATTCTCCTGCCTCAACCTCCCAAAGTGCTGGGATGACAGGGGTGAGCCACTGTGTCTGGCCAAAATGGCGTCAGTTTCCCTATTTTTCCCTATTTGTTTCCCCCATCACGTGTTAAACATTTGTGACATGTGCTTTCTCCCTCTGTCTCCACACACACACACGAATGTATTACTATACGTGTATATATGGGTACGTTTTTTCTGAACCATTTGAGAGTAAATTGCAGACATGATCCCTTTTACATCTATATATTACCCCTAAATATTATAGTATCTCCCCAAATCAAGAACATTCATTCCCATGGTTCATTGATGAAAGTCAGGAAATGTAATTTTGGTGCAGCACTACTGTCTAATCCATGGTCTATGTTTGGATTCCAGCAACTATCCTGATATAATATGTTTTATAGCAGTTTTCCCCTCAATCCAGAGTCCAGTCATAGCTCACACATCATATTCAGTTATCCTATTTCCTTTTTTTTTTTTTTTTTAAAGTGGGGTTTCACAAGGTTGCTCAGGCTGGTCTTGAACTCCTGACCTCAGGTGATCCACCCGCCTTGGCCTCCAAAGTGCTTGGATTACAGGCATGAGCCACCACGCCCGGCCCAGTTGTCCTATTTCTTCATTCTCCTTCAGGCTGGAACCTTCCTCTGCCTTTTTCTTGCCACTGCCATTTTGAAGCATCTAGACCAGTACTTGCGTAGAATATCCCTCAGTCCCAGCTTGTGCCATGTTTCTTCGATTAGCTTCAGGGTGTGGGTCTAGGGCAGGAAAAGCCCGCTTCCCAAAGCAGTACCAGGTCTGGAAGGGAGGTGTTGAGGCCAGCTGGTGGCAGAATGGGTGGGGGCTGGAGGGAGGAGGTGCAGGGGCATTCGGGCAGCCAGTATTGGCAGGATGCAGGGGTGAAGCGGGTGGTCGGAGGTGGCTCTGGCCGGTAGCTCCTGGGATGTTAGTTTGGGAGAGAGGGATACTGGCATTGCTGCAGGATGGGGGCTGTAGGTTTTGGATGAGTGGAACTGGAGCTGTGGGGAGGCATCTGGAGAACAGGTAAGATGGCCAAGTCAGAGGCATGCTAGGAGCTAGGAGTGTGGAAGTCTAGTGTGTCTGCCAGGGAATATGACCCTCTTCCATTCTGTCTCTAGTGACGGTCCCTACTTGCTGCCCCTCCCTGTCCCTTCAGGCACCGCCACTTTCTGCCCTGTGTCCCTCAGCCCTGCAGCCCAGATGTCCAGACGCAAGTCCTTCTTTGACACCTGTCCCCGGGGGATTCTGGCTGGGTCATCTGCAGGGCCAGACTCCACCCTGACACCACACAATGACCTTCCCACTTTCTGCTGTCCCCCACAGGCCACTTCGTCTCCCTCAACACTGCTCAGAGCTATGAAACCCTGGGGGAGCTGGTCTTTGACATAGATCAGACCTCCAAGCAGCAGCTGCCCATTTACATCATGTCGACCTGCAAGATTGTCACAGAGGGCAAGGTGGTGACTGATGATGAGGTCCTCATTTTTGAGGCTGTGGTGCGGCGCCACCATACCTCCTGTGCCCGCTGCATCCTGGTCACGGAGGATAAGCGGGTCATCCTGCACCTGCCCCTAAACCAGAGGGGGCCCTTCAGGATATTGGAAGCCAGTCCTCCTCAAACTCTGCTCCAGGCCCTGCAGGAACCGAAGGGCCAGCTCTTCACCTGCCCCACCCTGCCCTGGGACCACGTGACCCTGAGGCCCATGTATGAGATCGAAGCCATCATGCACAGTGAGTTGCCTGGGCAGGTGGATGATGGGGGCTGTTGGGAGAGAAAGAGGGGTGCCCCGGGGAGCTGCTCTGATGGAAGACACTCCCACCCTATCCCTGGGGATCAGCAGGAACTTCAGATTGCTCCCTCTGTATTACGCTGCACTTATTCTTATTGAGGCTCAAATGATCTCAGCCAGGCCAGGCACGATGGCTCGGGCATGTAATCCCAGCACTTCAGAGGATTGCTTGATCTCAGGTGTTCCAGACCAGACTAAGCAACATAGCAAGAACCCCATCTCTATAAAATTTTTTTTTTAATCAGCTAGGCAGCCAGGCACGGTGGCTCACACCTGTAATCTCAGCACTTTGGGAGGCCCAGGCAGGTGGATCACCTGAGGTTGAGAGTTCGAGACCAACCTGACCAACATGGAGAATCCCCATCTCCACCAAAAATACAAAAATGGGCTGGGTGTGGTGGCGCATGCATGTGAGCCCAGCTACTCGAGGCTGAAGCAGGAGAATTGCTTGCACCCGGGAGGCAGAGGTCGTGGTGAGCTGACATCGTGCCATTGCACTCCAGCCTGAGCAACAAGAGTGACTCCGTGTCAAAAAAAAAAAAATTAGCTAGGCATATGCATAGTGCTTGTAGTACCAGCTACTCCGGAGGCTGAGGCAGGACTGCTGGAGCTCAGGAGTTCAAGGTTGTAGTGAGCTATGATCACACCCCTGCACTCCAGCCTGGGCAACTGAGCAAGATCTCATCTTTTTTTGTTTTTGAAAGTGAGTCTTCTGCTGTGTGTCGTGGTTCACGCCTGTAATCCCAACACTTTGGGAGGCCGAGGCAGGCAGATCACCTGAAGTTGGGAGTTTGAGACTAGCCTGACCAACATGAAGAAACCCTGTCTCTACTAAAAATACAAAAGTAGCTGTGCATGGTGGCTCACGTCCATAATCCCAGCTACTCTGGGGGCTGAGGCAGGAGAATCACTTGAACCCAGGAGGCGGAGGTTGTGGTGGGCCGAGATTGTGCCCAGGCTGGAGTGCCATGGCAACAAAGAGCAAATCTCCATCTCAAAAACAAAAGAAAGAAAAAGAAACGGAGTCTTGTTCTGTCAGCCAGGCTGGAGTGCAATGGTGGATCTCGGCTCACTGCAACATCCACCTCCTAGATTCAAGAGATACTTTTGCCTCAGCCTCCCGAGTAGCTGGGACTACAGGCATGCACCACCATAACCAGCTAATTTTTCTATTTTTAGTAGGCAGGGTTTTGCTGTCTGCCTTGCTGGCCAGGCTGGTCTTGGAGTTTCCGGCCTCAAGATCTGCGCACCTTGGCCTCCCAAAGTGCCAGGATTACAGGTGCGACCTACTGCTCCCAGCCCTTTTTTTCTTTTTCTTTTTTTTTTTTTTGAGACAGTCGCAGTCTGTCACCCATGCTAGAGTGCGGTGGCATGATCTCAGCTCACTGTACCTTCTGCCTCCCAGGTTTAATTCTGCCTCAGGCTCCAGAGTAGCTGGGATTACAGGTGTGCACCACCACACCTGGCCGATTCGTTTTTTAGATGAAGTTTCAAGCTCTTGTCACCCGGGCTGGAGCGCAACGGCATGATGTTGGCTCACTGCAGCCTCTGCCTCCCGAGTTGAAGTGATTCTCCTCCCTCAGCCTCCTGAAGGGCTGGGAGTACAGGCATGAGCCACCACACCCACCTAATTTTTTGTGTTTAGTAGAGATGAGGTTTCACCACGTTGGCCAGGCTGGTCTCAGAGTACTGAGCTCAGGCAATCTGCCCATCTCAGCCTCCTAAAGTGTTAGGATCACAGGTGTGAGCCACTGCACCCGGCCTGTGGTGATCTTTAGAGACATACTGAGATGGTCACACATGGCCTGATGTGATTATTCTGATTCAGAATGACCAACAGAGCAGGAGTGGAAGGGCCACAGGCCGAAGCACATGGGCCACGAGTTAGATGTTGAAGCTGGGTGATGGGTCCATGGGGAGCACTGTACTATTCTATTTTATAAATGTTTAAATATAGGTCGGCTGCGGTGGCTCACCCTATAATCCCAGCACTTTGGGAGGCTGAGGCAAGGGTATCTTGAGGTCAGCAGATGGAGACCATCCTGGCTAACATGGTAAAACCCCACCTCTACCGAAGATACAAAAATCAGCCGGGCGTGGTGGTGCACGCCTGTAGTCCCAGCTACTCAGAGTGAGACTTTTTCAAAAAAAAGGTTGAATGGAAAGCGTGAGTGGGAAGGTGGTGCAATAGCAAGATTCTGATTGGAAGGAAAAGATGGCAGGCAGCAGGAGGGAGGCAGCCGGCCCAGCCATTCCTCTGTGCCAAGGATGGGGCCACTCCTGGGGTGGCATGCAGTGCCGCTGAGCTGCCCCTTTCGATAGTGCGCAGGACCATCGTCAAGATCCCCTCCAACCTGAACGTGGACGTGGAGGACATCACCGCCTCCTCCCAGCACATCCACTTTGTCCAACCACTGCTGCTGAGTGAGGTCCTGGCCCGGGAAGGCCCCTTCCCCCTGTCCGTGGAGATTCTGGAAGTTCCTGAAGGGCGCCACATCTTCCTCAGCCCATGGGTGCGCTCCTTGAAGATAGGCCGGAGGCTTTGCATCCATGGCCTAGCCTCACCACCCTGGCGGGTCCTGGCCTCAAACAAGGGCCGCAGAGAGCCCAGGTACTTCCTGGTGTCAGGGGCCTACCAGGGCAAGATGCGGCGGCGGCCAAGGGAGTTCCCCACGGCCTATGACCTCCTGGGTGCGTTCCAGCCAGGCCGGCCACTCCGGGTGGTAGCCACAAAGGACTGTGAGGGCGAGGAAGAGGAGAATCCTGAGTTCACATCCCTGGCTGTGGGCGACAGGCTGGAGGTACTGGGGCTTGGCCTGGCCCACGGGGCCCAGGGCAGTGACATTGACGTCTTGGTTTGTCAGCGGCTGAGTGATGAGGATGAGGAGGAAGAGTGTGAAGAGGAGGCAGAGAGCCCAGAACGGGTCCTACTGCCCCTCCACTGCCCTGGCAGCTTCGTGGAGGAGATGAGTGACAGCCGGCGCCACAGCCTGGTGGATCTGATTGCCCAGTTCTCACTGCCTTGTGAGGTCAGGGTGATGGTCAAGGATCCCAGTTACCCCAGTGACCCTCTGACTGCTGTACTGGGTCTGCAGCTGGAGGAGAAGATCACAGAGCCCTTCTTGGTGGTCAGCCTGGACTCTGCGCCTGGGATGTGCTTCGAGATCCCTCCCCGGTGGCTGGACCTGACTGTCGTGGAGGCCGAGGTGCAGCCAGACCAGCCAGGGGGGTCTGTGCCCCTAGCCACAGTGGAGGAGCTGCCAGACACCTTTTATTACACTCTTCGGAAGTTAGCAGCCTGTGAGATCCAAGCCCCTCCACCAAGGCCCCCGAAAAGTCAGGGACTCAGTGGGCAGCGGAGACACAGCAGCGAGAAGGGAGGCGTCAAGGTACCAGTATAATCCCAGCGGGCAGGGAGGGGTCAGTTACTGGGATCACTGCTTCTGTCACATCTGTCATGTTTCCCTTACAACTGTGTAAACTTGCAGTTTGTAAGCCTGCACACATTGCAGCCCGTAATTCTCATTCCATCTCGCAATCGGTCCTGAGGTTGGTATGATTATCTCTATGTTATGATTGAGAAAATGAGGACTCTCCCAGGGTCCCTGTTAGTAAGTGGCAGGACTGAACTTGGCCATGGACATTCCAACTCCACGTTCATGGTGCTTTCCTCTCTCCACCGCCTCTGCCTTCACTCCCTAGTTCCAGCCTCATCATTTTTCTCCTGAACTGCTTCAGCAGCCTCTTAACAGCTGTCAGAAAGTCCTAACTCCTTTCGTGGTCATTGGTGGGCCTCAGCTCCATCTTCTGGAAACTTCTGGGGCTCCCCATTGCTGTGGGATGATACAAACCTCTCAACATGGCAGCCAGGGTCCTTTATAAGCTGACTTGTCTCACCTTCCTGGACCCATCTCCCACCACTCTGCTGTCCACCCTTCAGTGAGAGAAGTGCCCGCAGCTCCCTCCTGGCCTGAGACTCCCGCTTCAGACCCCCACACCCGGGCCTTCTGCCAGCAGTGTTCTTCCTTCAGGCTCACAGACAAGGCGGGGCTCAGACTTCCTGCTCAGCAGCTGTGGTCCTGCCTCCTCTCCTGTACTCCCACTGTGTGCTGTACGTAGCTCAAGACACGTCTTCTAGGGAGTCCTATCTGAGACTCCAGCTGGAAAGAGTTCTATGAGGGCAGGGACTTTACCCGCTCCAAGGCCAGAAGAGTACCATGAAATGAGCCAAATAGAGTCACAGATGAGCAGGAAAGAGCCAGGCACAGGGTCAAAAAGACTAAGTTTACGTGCCGGCTCACTCACTCTGTGCTCGTGCATGGTACTCTGGCATTCTTTTTCTCACCAGTAGACCTGCGATACCATCCTCAGCTGCTGCTGTGCTGCCTCTGTGACCTGCTTACTCTGTGGCAGGCCCCTGATAGGCTTTGCCTCAAATACTCTCACGATGCTTCTGAGTTAGATACTGGTATCTCGCTTCCCAGTTGAAGGGGAGAGGTGCAACACAGCCCACAAGTGGTGGGGCCAGGGCTTGTAATTGGATCTGGCCGCACAGCCTGAGCGTCCAGCTGCTGTGCTCTGCTGAGAACAGGAGGGGATGAGACAGATAAAAAGTCCTTTACTGTCACCAGCTCCTGTTTTGGGATCTTGGATGACTCGTATTTAGTCATGTGTGATAGGCAGCAGGTGGCAGTGGAAGTTACAAGATGACTCCTGGGTGGTCTCAGCCCCAGAAGGGGCTTTTATCTTGGGGTGAGGGTGGGGAAGTCAGGAAGTCATTTTCTGACAATGGCTGGACTGGTTCATCAGAAACACAGGCCTGTGCCAGGGCAGGAAAGGGGACTCCCCAGGACCGAGAGACCACAGACTGCGTCTTGGCTCCTGATGGTGGCACTCTGGGCCTTGTCACTGCTGTCTTCCTGGAACCACAACTTTTCCCCTTCGTGCATCGGAATCGGTGCTAATCAGGGAGCTGTGCGCTCGCTCTGTAAAACATGGTGTGGCACGAAGACCCGCTGCCTTTGGAGGTTACAGGTGTGGCTCTGGGTCCAAACCTTGGCCCTGCTGTGGATCCCCCGCGTGACTTTTGACAAGGCACGCTTTCTCCTACACAAACTGGGAATTGAAACCACTCAGAGGGTGACTTGAGGATTAAAGAGCAGACGTCATGTAGCATCTGGCACACGGAGGAGTGCAGTGAAAGTCCTCTTCCTGCTGGGCCTCCTCAGCTCAGGCACTGTCGGGAGGCTTTGCAGCTGCTTTCTTAAGCTCTCCCCACTTTGCTTTCTTCCCCTTCAGCAACAGAATTAAAGGACATTGACGGCATTCCTAAGTGGAGAATCCCAGGAACACCCCGTCTCCAGCCCCCAACCCTGTCCTCATTTTCTACCCTGACCCCTTTCTCCCTTGCCAGAGAATATTTCACATGCTTGTAGCAAACACACCAGGGGTCTTGAGAAGCCATAGCCTGAAAAGGAAGTAGAAAGAAGCAGGCGAAGTGACACTTAACGTGAATGACAGTTTTTCATGGACCCTGCTTCCCCATTTGAGACCCTGCTGATTCCTTTCTGCTTTTTCTCCCAGTCTTCTCAAGTCTTAGGACTGAAGCAACCCCCTCTGCTACCCAAACCCAAGGCGAAGACCTTGCCAGATCTCACCAAGGATAGCTCCAGTATGTACAGCAAGATTCCTGGCCACAAGAAGGGCCACAGGCCCACTAAGCCCCAAACACAGGATCTAGGTGAGTCCCTGTGGGCACCACTCATCCATGTCCTGGCGTCTCCCCTCACTACCTTGCTGGTTCCTTTGCCTCTGGCCCTGCCCAGGGACAGACCCTTCTGTGGTACCAGTTTGATGGACAGGTCTCTTGGGTGGGCTCAGGTGGAAAGGTCCCTACTGTCTTTCCCAAGGGCTCCAGAGCTTTGGCACGGAAAGTGAGTTCAGTCCCCAGCACTCTACCCTCCCTGCCGCAGACAGGAAAATGAAATGGTTGCAAAGTGTGGAGACAAGTTGTGGTTTCTAGGCTAGCAAGGACCTTAAAGCATCTGGGCCAACTCCTTCCCTGCACAGGTGAGGAAAGTGCCCTAAAGGGAAGGAACTTGCCTAATGCCAAAGATTGTCATTGACTCTTTTGCAGACGATGATGAACATGATTATGAAGAAATACTTGAGAGCTTTCAGAAAACCATCTAGGTTCTGGAGGAACCATGCGTCCTGACTGCTGCTTCTCAGGGAACCTGATGCCAGCTAACCGTTAGAAGCCTCTAAAAGACCTCGGGCAAGGCCTCATAGAAGCTGAAGTGCACACAGGGAATGGCTTTGTGGGAACTGATTTGATGGACGCCGCACCAGCTTCCTTCAGGTTCCAGATTCCTGCTACTTAGGGTGGGCCGGTTGGGACCTAACAACACCCCGCACATGACTCCCTCAGCCTCAGAGCCTTGGGATGCAGAGCAGCTGGCAGGGTTCCTCAATCCTGCAACCCCAGCCATCCCACCGGTGGGTGCAGACGAGCATCAGAGGACACCAGCCTCGGTGATACCAGTGGCTCTCAGTAAAGACGATTCCAACCTGATCACTGCATGTGGGAGATTTTGTTAAGGTTTGCCACCCCCACTCTCACCCCTAAGCTCTAAGCCCCGGGAGGCCTGGACTGTCTTCCTCATCTCTGTAGCACCTAGCCTGATCTGCATGTGGTAAATGGGGTCATATGAATTAGTGTGGGAACCTGGCTTCAAGAGCAGAATCTTAGGACCTTGGCCCACAAAAGCTGGTGGTGAAGTGAGGGAAGCCAATTTAAGAAGACCCTTATGGAGACCTGAGGTTGCAGAAAACTGGTGGGTTTCATCAGGTGGTGAAAGAGTTGTGACTATCCAAGATTATTTCATTTTTAAATCATAGAATGAAAATGAGCTTCTACACAAATAAGAACGGCTATCATTTATTAAGTTCTGACTATGTGCCAGGCACTTACAACCCATATCCAAATCCTCAACTTTCTGAGGTACAGAATGGCCTGATTTTAAGATTAGGGAAGAGTCTGTGTGGCCAAGTACCTTAGGATGCTGACCAGCTGCAGTTAAGGGTGAGGACTTGGAAAGTATGAGACTGGGTTAGGATCCCAGCTTGCTACCTACCAGCCAGGACCATGAGCAAGTTTTTTTTCCTTTCTTTCTATGAGCAAGTTGTTTTAACCTGTTTCAGTTTTCTGACATGTCAAATGAAACTAGTTACTACCTCAAGAGATTTACTGTTTTAAGGATCCAATGAGATAATCTTTGTAAAGCATTTAGCACAGTGTCTGGCACATAGTAAACATTCAACAAACATGTATGATGATTGAGCAAGATCATGTAGCTGTCCTACCTCCAAAGCCTATGCTTTCCACCCCTCCAATGTTTCCTAGTCACAGGATACATTCCAGTGTTAAAAATATATCGTATCTCTAGACTGTGGAGGTAAGTTGTTGGCGGGCCTCACTGTCTTTTCGTTTGTTTTGTGGCAAGATTAGAGAACAACTCACTGTCTTGTTTAGTGGAGAGTAATACAAGCCTTTGTCCGTGCAGAGACTAACTCAGTTTTCAGAGGCAGTCAAGGGCTGTTCAGTGAGATAAAGACCACAGGCCACATTTTCTCTAACTGGTGTGACTTTGGTTTGTGGACTGAGGCAGTCACAGTGAGCAAAGACAGGAGACAAAGAGATGATCTTATACTCAGCTGAGATGGGAACCTAAAGAGGGTCAGACGCCCACTTCCCTGGTTTCTAGGCATTGCCGCTGGGCGTGTTCTTTGCGTAACATCTCCCTGGGCTGTCTGGACTCCATGGTGACACTTTGGAAGGTGGATGTGGATACATCACCTGAGGTCAGGAATTCAAAACAAATGGTTAACATTACAAAAGCCCATCTCTACTAAAAATACAAAAAATTTGGCCAGGTGCAGTGGCTTACACCTGTAATCCCAGCACTTTGGGAGCCTGAATGAGTGAATCAGGTAAAGAGATGGAGACTACCCTAACCAACATGGTGAAACTCTACTAAAAATACAAAAATTAGCTGGGTGTGGTAGTGCCCACCTGTAGTTTTCAGCTACCATAATTTCAGGAGAATCACTTGAACCTGGGAGGTGGAGGTTGCAATAAGCTGAGATCGTACCATTGCACCCACAGAGGAAGACTTCGTTCACACCTAAACAGGAAATCATTTGGTCATCTAAAATACATTGGTTATCTAATACAAAGTAACTGAGTTGCACCTTCCAGGCCTCCAGGCCTCCAGACTCGAGCATGGAGGTCTCCAGGTGACTACTGAGTGGCTCCTACAGGCTGCTGGGCCAGTTCTGATGTGCCCATCAGCTCCCATGCCCTTCTCCAGAGATCAAGCTGCACTGTAAAGGAGGGCCCTTAGAAAGTATTGTAGGGAGAAGCAATGGGAAAGAAAGACAGAGTTCCTCCTTGGCACGGAACCCCAAGGGGCTAGTTTTCACTTCTGCATTTGCATTTACTCTCAGCACAAAATTGAGCAAGATGAGTAACAAAGCCACAAAAGCAGGGGTGGAAGAGGGGTACCAGTTCCTATAAAATGGGCTGAGTAGCCAAATGCTGTGTGAGAAATTTCACAGCAGCGAAAGTTGGGCTTGAAAGCCACAACTGTGAATGTTTTTTCTGTTTGTTTGTTTTTGAGATGGAATCTCACTCTGTGGCCCAGGTTGCAATGCAGTGGCACCATCTTGGCTCACTGCAAACCTCCGCCTCCCAGATTCAAGTGGTTCTCATGTCTTAGCCTCCCCAGTAGCTGGGACTACAGTTGTGTGCTACTATACCCAGCTAATTTTTGTATTTTTAGTAGAGGCAGGGTTTCACCATGCTGGCCAGGCTGGTTTCTAACTCCTGACCTCAGGTGATCCACCCACCTCTGCCTTCCAAAGTGCTGGGATTACAAGTGTGAGCAGAGCCTGGCCATTTTATCATAACAATGAAGATTAGCAGGGATCCAGCTAGAGGTAGATACTAACCTCAGGATACATTTGTTTTCTTTACCCCTGGAATAAGCCACAGAGTGGTGGGGTGTTATAATGGGGCTAGGGATTCCCCTGGGCAGTGGTCTCCAAAGTGGGGAGCACACAGCTCTAGGAGAACACAAGATGATCACTGGGAAAAAAATATTAGCACATTCCTTCACATTTTATTTAGAGATGGGGGTCTTGTTATGTTGCCCAGGCTGGTCTCAAACTCCTGGCCTTAAATGATCCTCCCACTTTGGCCTCTCAAAGTACTGGGATTATAGGAGTCACTTTGCCTGGCCCTGTATTAACTTTTAACATTTCTATTTTTGAATGATTATATTTAACATACCAATAGAGTAATAGATATAAATAATTGTGAAACAAATGAATATAAACTGCAATGGATGTCAAACAAATATGTTAATCCACACCAGACACTAATTCTTACTGGCCTTTCTCTAGTTAAACGCAATAAAGTAGTCCTATTCTCCAAGCAGCCTCATTTCCCACCTGTATACACAAGAATTCTCCCATGAGTAGGCTGGACCCATTGCTAGGCTGTGACGCTGGTGTTTCTAAGAACCGGGGTCACACTGCTGTCCCAACAATGGGCCAAGAGAATAATGTAGATTTGACCTGTCAAGTGGACCACAAATGCCCAAGATGCAAGTTCGTCCTGCCTGGGTAGAGAAGCTCTAGGAGAGCTGAAGTTTCATTCTGAGAAGTGATGAAACTCTCCTGCCTATGCTCATCCTGCAGGTCCCAGCAGTGGTCAGAAATCACACAACTCCTGTGAGACAATGGAAATGTCAAGATGGCAGGGAATTTAGCACCACTGGGCAGCTACTCTCTGCTACTGGGAATGCTGAACCAGCCAATCCTGTGATGCCAATCTCTTATTGTGCTTTATATTCCTGGTACCAGACCTATGGGTTGATATAGCAGGTATCCAAAAAGCACTAAATTAACCAGCAGTTGTTAATTGCTAAGTCATCATCTGATTTTTATCAAAAGAAAAGAAATACTTCCACCTAGAGGTACTGCTACTGAAGTACTTTTTGAGGGCACCAGCTTGGTAACTAGAAAGAGAAGCACCAACCATGAACGTATCCTATCACGCATTCCAAACTCAAGCATACATGATTTTACTTGTTTTTAGTCATTGTTCTTTGAGAAAATAACCAAGAATGAACACACTTGTAAATGAACGTGGTGGCTGGCTGAGTTTTACACATCTGGATAGCACCGCGGATGTTAACAACTCAGCATGTATAGAAAATATTTATTGTTCGCTGTCAGAAACCAACCACGGGAGCCTTCTCTGCATAGCTGCTCGTTCTCTTTTAGAAACATAGAGCAGATAGAGAATTCTTATTTGCATGTTACACTTCACTAACTTTATCTCAAAATTAGCTCTTTCATTCAAGATGTAGATAACTTCTAGAGTTATCAAAAACATCTCTGAGCTACTTTCTTTTTCTGTAAGAAACAGCTGATGGAGTTGGCCAAAAAATCAAAAAATGCCCATAGGCTTTTGGAAAGTCTCATCTTGAGGCCAAATGGGTAGCTATTCGATTCGGTTACGTGATCACACACTGCCAAAGAGTCAACATTAAGGTCCATTCCATAATCCCTTTAAATAGCAATATTAGATTTAGATGCTTTACAGACTATGGTTGTATTCAATCTTTACAGCAAGCCCACGGGAAAAAACACTGTTTTCTTTCTGTAAATGAGGAAACGGAAGTTCTCTCAGCTGACACAGCCTGCTCTATCTAAAATGAGGGAGAGCCAGGATTCAAATCCAAGTTTCACTACGTTACATTGTCTCAGATGACAAAGTAGTCATTACATTACTCAGAAATAAAAATGAGAACATTTTTACAAGTTACTACAATCGAACTGTTTTATTAAACATATGAATGTACTTATTTTGTACAAAACGCAGTAACACTTCCTTTCCTCTGCCCCTGGAGGCACCACCACAGAACTTCGTGTTCACAGAAACATACGGTCATGACAAGCAGCAGTCACGACAAGCAGGAAAGTGCAATTCTGAAAGTAATGCCACACAACCAAAGTGGGACAGAAACAGGCAGAGGCTAGCAGGTTACTCAGTTAGGGCTCTGCCTACAAGGCCCTGGTCCTGCTCATCTTCTTTCAGCAGCAGGAAAAACTTTAAAAAGAGAAACCCCCAAACACTATGTAAGTACTCTCCTGGTAGCGTCCTTCCGATTCCATTATCTTGATGTTGTAACAAGCTTATTTGTAGCTTCCTCAAGAAATGCCATCCTGGATTGCATCCCTGTCAATTGTCCATCTCCCTCTGAGCTTCAAACAAAACAAAATAAAACAGAAGAGCAGTATGTTTCAAAAGGACGTCAGTAGAGACCTTTTAGACATGAAACCTACTTCCTAGAAGCCACCTGGCTCAATGTATGCAGAGCTGGAGACAAGAGACTGTGAAACTAGGTCCAGCTGTAAAATATCTCAGGTACCCAATTAGATCCAGTTATTCTGCATCTGTGGATTTAAAATGATCATCATCCACAGTAGAATAGATGTGCCCCTCATTGCTCAGAAAATCCACAGCTTGCCTAGAAAGAAAGAAAGAAAAAAGTCATTTTCAGGCCAATGCAGAAGAAAACCGTCTTTCAGATATGGCCAAATATGCAAATTTTGCTCTTCTCCCAACTTTCTACCGTAGCTAAGAATTGACAACTACTTTGCACATAGAAGGCTCAGAGGGAGAACTGCCAGTAAAATTACAAAACAGCTTATTCATGGGGACAATAGCTGTTAGGGCTGTCTTGGATCCCTCTCCCACACTGTGTAAAGGAAAGACAACAGGGCCTCACTTAAATACAGACTAAGCAGGAAAGCAAGGATCTAAAGCTGCAGTCGCGCACACAAAATCTCCTAGTAGAGACAGTTGTCTTTAACAGTCCCCCTTTTCTACCCACACACTGAAACCCCTTTGGTCCCCCTCTGGGAAGTAAAGTTGTGGGAAGCAAAGGAAACACTATAAAACCTTCAAATCTTTTGGGCTGGGTGTGGTGACTCACGCCTGTAATCCAAGCACTTTGGAGGCCAAGGCGAGCGGATCACCTGAGGTCGGGAGTTCAAGACCAGCCTGACCAACATGGTGAAACCCTGTCTTAAAAAAAAAACATTTCAAGGTCCTCAGGGTCAGGGTCAGTAACTTACTTACTTATCCATTTATTCATTCATCCATTCAGACAGTTTCACTTTTGTTGCCCAGGCTGGAGTGCAATGGAGCCATCTCACCTCACTGCAACCTCCCCCTCCTGGGTTCAAGTGATTCTCCTGCCTCAACCTCCTGAGTAGCTGGGATTACAGGCACCTGCCACCACACCCAGTTAATTTTTGTATTTTTAGTAGAGATGGGGTTTCTCCTTGTTGTCCAGGCTGGTCTCAAACTCCTGACCTCAGGTGATCCACCCACTTTGGCCTCCCAAAGTGCTCGGATTACAGGGGTGAGCCACCACACCTGGCCCAGTAACGTAAATAGCCACAATCAACAGATCACCTAAGTTATAGCAGGTCTCTACCTCATCAGCATAGCAACTCTGAAATAGGAATTATCCTTATTTTATAGGATAGGAAATGGAATTAGTTCTGAGCTTTCTCTTCTATCTAGGCCTGGCATATATCACTTAATTTATAGTAACAAATAACTATCACAAGCGCCATAAGTCAGTTTGTTTGATTAGTTTACTATACTGGAATCAGGAGGCTGCTTCTCTAAGATGGAATCAGGACAAGGGTGATGGAAGAACTGATTGTTGAATAAGGTCCAGATGGTACACTCAGTCTACTGTGGGGACACTAAACAGCAATGGGAGTGTACACCTGAGGACCAAGAGCTAAGGACTTCCCTCCTCCAGTCTAAATCCCATAAGGAAATCAGGTCAACTTTTTGCTCAGAATTATTATATATCCCCCATCTATTACGGTCCTTAGTGTTTGCTGAATGAAAAACTTTATTGAATGAGTGATGTGATGGGTAGCACCATTTTAGTGCATAGTCTTTTCCTATTTTTTCCATAGCTGAACAATTTCCATTGTCAATAGGGTTGTCTTTTTTTTTTTTTTGGTGACAGTCTAACTCTGTCATCCAGGATGGAGTGCAGTGGCACAATCCTGGCTCACTGCAGCCTCGACCTTCTGGGCTCCAGTGATCCTCCCACCTCAGCTTCCTTGGTAGCTGGGACTACAGGCATGCGTCACTGTGCCCAGCTAATTTTTCTGTATTGTTTTTGTGAAAACAACGGTTCTGCCGTGTTGCCCAGGCTGGTTTTGAACTCCAGAGTTCAAGCAATCTGCCCACCTTGGCCTCCCAAAGTGCTAGGACTATAGGAATGAACTACAGTGCTTGGCCAACTTATACTTTTTTTTTGAGACAAAATCTCGCTGTCACCCAGGCAGGAATACAGTGGAGTGATCTTGGCTCACTGTAACCTCCGCCTCCCAGGTTCAAGAGATTCTCTTGCCTTAGCCTCCAAACAGCTGGGATTACAGGTGTGTGCCACCGCACTTGGCTAACTTTTATATTTTTAGACAGGGCTTCACCATGTTGGCCAGGATGGTCTCGAATTCCTGACTTCAGGTGATCCACCGTGCCTGGGCAACCAAGTTTTACTTTTTTTTTCTTTCTTTCTTTTTTTTTAAAGACGGGGTTTCACCATGTTGGTCAGGCTGGTCTTGAACTCCTGACCTCAGGTAATCCGCCCCACTTGGCCTCCAAAGTGCTTGGATTACAGGCGTGAGCTACTACGACCAGCCCCAAGTTTACTTTCTAAACTCACTTCTCATTATCAGCAAACCCTTGTGAGGTGAAATAGGTACAATGCCAGAGCCTGAGCTCATGAGAATCAAATACTTACTTGATTGAGGGTACAGACATGTGTTTCAGCTGGTTCTTGAGATCTTGAAAGTTCAACCCTTCAGGTCTTGGACAAGCCTTAATCAAATTCAGCACCTGAAGATTCAATCAGAAAGACTTTAGCAACTATTTTGAATTAGCCTTCCCTTTGCAAACCTGAGTCCCTTTATAGGAAAGGAATGAACCAGGTACTTAAACGGTCTTAGCTCATTAAGGAAGTAACAAAGTTTAAGATTGTCTGTGATGGTGGTTACCTGGTTTTGGGCCACAGTGAGGCCATTTGCTGGCATAAAGCTATTCCCACCAAAGTTCCCTGCTTCACTCATTCCTGGATTGCTGATAGGTGCTCTCCCTGCTGAGGGCTGAATTAAGAAATAAGTTAACAATATTAAGAAAATCCACCAAGTTAAACACAAGTCTTTACTGCTTCAAATAGCCGGTTAAGCAGCTTACAAAAAACAATTTAAACAAAGTTTCCCGGTTACACTGCTTGCACTGGAATGGACAGTTATTATCGAATGAGTGTTTCATAGGAAGATAGAGTAACTCTCTGAAGCTCATAAATATCAAAAAGAGAAAGATAACTCCGCCTCAAAAAAAAAAGGAGAAAGCCACTCTTGGTTCCTTTTGTTTGTGATGTGAGAGGAACCACAGAAGAGCAGCAGGGAGAAGAAAATTACTCCCCCCTCAAAAAAAGAAAATTCCCCAGAGACTGCTATTACGGCATCCTTGGGGTTCCCTCACCCAAGCACTCACTGAGTGTCCGGAGGCACGAAGCACTGCAGCAGGCGGAGAAAAGGAGACACAGTCCCCATCATCCTCGTTCCTTCTTTGTTTACTACCAAATTCTTCGAATGCTCTGCAGTCACTATTTTCTTTCCTTTCTCCCCAGTCACTCCTCAGCCCACCATGTCTAGGTTCTCCCCAAGCACACCTCTGACACTGTTTTCACCAAAGTCACCAATAACTTTTCAACAATTATCCAAGAGCCTCTTTCAGTCCTTGGCATAATTGACCTTTCAGAAGCAGACACTGCTGACCACACTCCTCTTGAAATGTATTCTTCTGGTTCTCCACTTGCCTCAAAAACTAAACCTTCTCAATATCCCTCATTAGCCTCTTCTATCTGTCTCCCAAAAGGCTGACAGTGCCCCCAGGATTTCATTCCAGACCGCCTCCTAGGCCACGAATCCTCACTGCCACCCATCTAACTGGAAACCTCCACTTAAACATTTGAGATGCCTCAAAATAAAATAAAATTCATTACTTTCCTCCCTAAACCTGCTTGTCGTCTTATATTCCACCTCAGTAAGACCAAACCCAGTCCCGAGGACCTCAGTCATCATTTACTCACTTTCCTCAATCTGTCACCACAGCCTATCACTGACAGTGTAGCTCAAGTGGATCCTCATTAGCCCTGGTCTCCCGGGTGGCACCTGAGCCTCTGGCCTCTCCTACTCCCATCAACCCTCCCATTGCTATGAGTCATAACCTCCTCTAGTCCCGCCACTCCTCTACTTAAAGCTTTCAAGCAGCTCCCTCTGCCTGTGGAAAGTGTAAAGCTCCGGCTATTCATCTGTGTATGATTATTGACCACGCCTTCAGAATACACTTCACTCCCCAGCTGCACTGGGACTTCTTGCCATCCTGAAACATGCCGCTGATCTGAACATGTTGTTCCCTGTCTGGCATGCTCTTCCCCTCATCTACCTGGTAAACACTCTTCTCATCCTTCTAAATCCAACTCAATTGCCACTGCCTTGTAAAGCCTCGCCTGACATCCCCCAAGCCAACTAAAGCCATTTTCTTTCTTCTCGGCTCCCAGCGCTTGCACAGCACCATCACGCTGTGCGTCACTTTCCCACGCAAGTCCTCCCATTGTTGCAGCGTGCTTGGTGGACAGCATGTGCCGTCAGTGCTTCGTCTACTGAACTGAATCAAAAACAACAACAGAGGACCAAATAGACTCAAGTGCCCACAACTGATTAAGAGCACCGTGAAAGCTCATCAGGAGAAATCCTGTCTAGTCAGGAGATTCACTTGTTCAACAAAGGCTCATTAAAAGCCTACAGTCCACCAGGCAGGGTGGGCCATGCCTGTAATCCCAGCACTTTGGGAGGCTGAGGTGGGAGGATCACTTGGGCCCAGGAGTTCAAAACCAGCCTGAACAACACAATGAGTCCCCATCTCTACCCAAAAAATAAAATAAAGAAAAACAAGGTCCCTTGAAAGCGTCAATCTTTAGCCCTTTTCATAACTGAGACTACAGGTGCACACCACCATGCCCAGCTAACTTTTAAATATTTGTGGAGAGGCCGGACTTGGTGGCTCACTCCTGTACTCCAAGCACTTTAGAAGACAAGGAAGGTGGATGACCTGAGGTCAGGAGTTCAAGACCAGCCTGACCGACATGGTGAAACCCGTCTTAAACAACAACCAAAAAAAAAAAAAAAAAAATGTGTAGAGACATAAACATTTGTGGGGAATCTTACTATGTTGTCAGAGCTGGTGCTGAACTTGGCCTGAAGTGGTCCTCCAGCCTTGGTTGCTCAAAGTGCTGGGATTATAGACATGAGCCACCGTGCCTGGCCCATTCTCACTTTTCACCCATTTTTATCATATAATATTTAACACATAAATATGTTACAAAGTATAGTAATAAAAGAAACACTGTGAACTTTGTACCCATTCTCATTGTCTTTAGCTCACTTCACCGCTCCATCCTCTACTGAGTCTCTTTTGAAGATCCAACAGATCTCTTTCATAGTCTTCCTTGACTTCAGGTAGAATTCCATAGTTTATCTCTACTCTCTATTTCTTGAAATACCCCTTCCAGAATATTAACAAAATCATACCTCCTGGTTTTCCTTCTGCCTAACCAGCCACTTATTTGCCTTGCATTGGTTCCTATTCTGTTTCTAGACTTCTAAAAGTTAGTGTGGCCCAGAATTCAGGTCTCTGCCCTCTTAAGTCCCTAGTTATCTCATCATTTAGGGCTCTACATATCAGCTACACGATGATGACTCCCAAAGTTCTATCTCTATCCGTGGCCTCTTCCTTGAGTCCAGCTTTATATATTCAGTGTCCACTCTATACTTCACTGGGATATGCAACCGGCATCTCCTACTTGGTGGCTCTAAAACAGAACTCTGGATTTTATCCGCCAAGGAGTCAGTTTTCAGTCCTCCCTTTTCTTTATTTCTAATATCGAATCCAACAATAACCCTTGTTAGCTCTACCTTCAAAATATATGGGAACCCATCACTTCTCATCCCAAGAATCATCTCCCTGAATTATTTCTGTGGCCATTTCTGGTACCTCATACTCTGTTCTCAGAACAGCAGGCTGAATGCGGTTTCTTTTTCTTTCTTTGAGACGAAGTCTTGTTCTTGTCACCCAGGCTAGAGTGCAATGGCGGGATCTCGGCTCAGTGCGACCTCCGCCTCCTGGGTTTAAGCGATTTTCCTGCCCCAGCCTCCCAAGTAGCTGAGATTACAGGCACCCACCACCATGCCCAGCTAATTTTTGTATTTTTGGTAGAGATGGGGTTTCACCATGTTGGTCAGGCTCGTCTTGAACTCCTGACCTCATGAAACACCTGCCTCGGCATCCCAAGTGTTGGGATTACAGGTGGGAGCCACCACACCCGGCCCTGAATGCGCTTTTTAAAACGTAAAGCAGACCACATCACTCCCTGGTCAAAACCTTCCAAAAGTTTGGTATAAATTAGAATAGGCTGGACATGGTGGCTCATGCCTGTAATCCCTGCACTTTGGGAAGCCAAGGCGGGCAAATCACTTGAGACCAGGAGTTCAAGATCAGCCTGGCTAAATGGTGAAACTCCATCTCTACTAAAAATACAAAAATTACCCAGTTGTGGTGGCATACACCTGTAATCCCAGATACTTGGGAGGTTGAGGGAGGAGAATCACTTGAACCTGAGAGGCGGAGGCTGCAGAGAGCCGAAATCAAGCCACTGTACTCCAGCCTAGGTAACAGAGTAAGTCTCCGTCAAAAAAAAAAAAAAAAAAAAAAAAAGAGAGAGAAAAAAAAAAAAAAAAAAAAAAAAAAAAAAAAAAAAAAAAAATACTAAAAAAAAAAAAAAAAAAAAAAAAAAAAAAGACCAAAGAAAAAATGTGAATAAAGGCAATCGTTACCATGGCCTCCAAAGCCCCATATAATCTGGGCTCTGCCTCCTTGCCTACAACCCTCTCCCTCTTTCCCTGTCACTGGCTTCACTCCAGACACCGCCTTCTTGCTGGTTTCAGAGATGCCACGCTCACTCTACACTCCTGGCTCTTGCACTTCTTAGTCCCTCTGGTTTGGGATGTTCTTCTCCATCTAAAATTGTACCATTTTTGCTCCCTCCATCACCCTCTTCTCCCACTTTGCTTTACTTACTTCAGAGCGCCTATACCTACCTAAAATTCTATTAATATTTTTGTTGATTGCTTGTTTCTCCCAAGAATGTAAGTACATGGTGTTCACTGCTATACTCAAAGGGAGACTCCAGTGATTGGCACTATCAAATCAAAGTAGGCTCAGTAAATCTTTTTCTTTTCTTTTTTTTTAGATAAGAAACAAAGTGCCGAGGGGACCCAGAAACAAGGAAACCAAACAAACAGAAAACAAGGCACCACACATAGGCCGGACAAAAGGAATCTCCCAAACTCAGCCTCCCAAGTACCTGGGACCAGAGGCATACACTCCCATGCCCAATTAATTCTTTAATGTTTTTTTGTAGAGACAGGGTCTCCCTATGTTGCCCAGTGTGGTGTCTCCAACCGGGCTCAAGTGATGCTCCTGCACCAGCCTCCCAAAGTGCTGGGATTTCAGGCATGAACCACCGCCCCTGGCCCTGACAGCTTTCTAATACTAGAGTCAACAAATCTTTTGTATGGTCCTAGATGGGACTTGCCAAAGTAAATTCACACAACAGAAAATACTATGGAGAAATTTCAATAGGAACCAAGAAATATAATTTCAGGGAAAAAATAATGGTACATAATTTTTCCTACTTGGTCAACAAGTTGGAAGGAAAGCAGCAAAATGCTATCTTGAGGGGGGCTACTCTCTGAATATGCACTAACAATCCTGGAGCTAAGAGCTCAGCCTATAATTACATGTCTACACCTGAGGGTTGTCACAGGCCTCAGCTGTCCAGGCCAGTGGAGTCAGAGGAACTCACAATTCTGAGAGAAACATGTGGGTTTCATCTGGAGTAAAATACAGTGACAAAGCCAATGGAGAAAGTGTTCTGAGGATTTAATGA